ATCCCAGGACCCTGGGACCATGACCTGAGCCGAAGGCAGACGCTTAACGACTGAGCCACCCAGGCGCCCCAAAGTGCTTTAATTTTTTAAATGGGCAAAAGATTTGAACCAACTATTCTCCAAGGAGGGTCTGTGGGTGGCAAATAAGCACACAAAAGATGGTCAATGTCATTTACCATTAAGAAAACACAAAACCACAGTAAGATACCATTACACACCCACTGGAATGCCTGTCATCAGAAGGATGAACAGTAACAAGTGTTGGTGAAGCTGTAGAGATAGAAGTCTCATACATTGCTATTGGGGAGATCCAATTAGATCACTTTGATAAGAAGTTTGGCATTTTCTTAAAAAGTAAAATCTAGGGATGCCCGGGTGGCTCAGTCAGTTAAGCAGTGGCCTTCGGCTCAGGTCACAATCCCAGGGTCCTGGGATGGAGCTCCTCATCAGGCTTCCTGCTCGTAGGGGAGCCTGCTTCTCCCTCTCCCTCTGTCACTCACCCTGCTTGTGCTCTCTCTCTGTCAAATAAATAAATAAAACCTTTTTTAAAAAGTAAAATCTATACTGGCCATTTAAGTGGGCAATCCCACTCCCAGTTTCTTACCTAATAGAAGTGAAAACACGGGTATTCCTGTAACAAGGGTGCTATCCCCCAGTGAGATCATTTCCCAGGACCCAGGAGACTCTGAGGTACCATTACTCAAAATTAACTAATAACTGACTTGAATTTTGTATAATAAGTTCACCGTCAACAGTTTTTTTCACTTTATGAATTTTTATCCCCCGCAGCAAGCAGGTGATGACCAGAGTTCATCTGTACACAGGTAAGTTTGTAAGCTTACTAGAGTTGTTTTATCTGTTTGAAAAATACTATATGCTCTTAAGAGTCTTGCTTTAAAAAGTCTTCTTTACTCCAAGGTTATACAGATATCCTCCATATTCCTTGCTAATATTTTCATCATTTTTATTCACGTTCTTTGTATTTTGGTTTCCAAGCTATCCTGAATTTGTTTTTGTGTTCACGAAGACAGGGCTTAATTACCCTAGCCAGCTCCAAGGGCATGGTGCGCCCTGCTCCCCTGGGAGACCCTCTTCCGGGCGCGCCCGCCCTGAACGTCCGGCAGGTGAAACACCCCCCCTTGGCATTTTTAAATTTTTCATTGCTCTTGACAGTTCTTTCACGTTTTTATCTTTCCATGTAAGCTCTAAAATCCTTTTGTGCAGCTCCAAGACACGCAGAGTTCGAAGCGGAATTACATTAAACATTCCCTTGACATGGGAGGGAGCGAGGCCACGGGGTCACAGCTCCACGCCCCGAACCGCCCCGGAAGTCGGTCTCCCCCGGGGGAGCGGGCCGGAAGTGCCGCCGCACGCTCCGAGGTGTACGCGGAACTTGGTCCTGCGCGGAAACCTGTGCGGGGCGGCTTTCGCGTTCGGGCGGAGTGGGGCGGGGAGAACGGACCGCGCCCGCTCACGCACGACCAGGTGTCTAGCGGGGAAGGAGCGTTCGCTCCAAATATCCCGCTTCTTCCTTCTGCATTTGTTTCCTTAGACACCGGGTAGCGATACTGCTGCGAAAACCCGGGTCCTTTAGAGTTTCACTTGAAGCATCGCCTCGCTGTGGTCCTTTACGTACAATCTGAGCACATTCCCTCGCCCTGTCCAGCTGGGTGCGAGCCGCCTCCAGAAACAACCGAGACTACACCCGGTTTCGGACAGTCGGTGCAGACGCAGCGCACGGGCTGGGGACCTGCAGAAGGGGTGCGCGGCCGCGCAGGGGCCCGGGGACCCGCAGAAGTCCCGGGTGGACGCGTCCCAGGGGCAGGAGACGCAGAAGTCCGGTGCGACGCAGCACAGGGCTGGGGACCTGAAGAAGTGCAGGTGTGCAAGCCAGACAAGGGCTGGGGACCTGCAGTCACTCGCAGCACCTCGCGCTGCAGCCACTTCTGGCGCTCTGAGTAGTGTCTTCCAAGTTCCATTTTTAATATTCTTTTGTGAGTTATACACACACTGCTTTGTTTTTTATAAAATTATCATATTGTGCAACTCTTTAAAAGCCCTTTAAAAAAATTCCATATACCTTCCACATTGTTAAAAGAAAAAGAAACATGATTTTTATGAATAGAAGTTATTCTGTCGTTGGGAGGAACCATATTCCTCATTTCTGGAATATTTATTTTCAATTTAGTGTTGTCTTCTCCAACAGGAAAATGAGCTAACTTTCACTGTTGAAAGGCCCGTTGTTGAAGTGTAGTACAAACCTCTGGGTGCGCTGGGCAGTAGGGAACAGTGGCCTTTCTTTATTGCACAAGTGTCCCTAGGGGAACCTGATAGCCGGAGAGTCCACTGCCTGGACACTCACAGCCTTATATTTCAGGCAAAGCCTGCTATAGCATGTCAGGGTCTCAATTCCTAGAGATCAAGGAATATGTTTAAATCACTTGACAGGATATCAATCCAAAGAAGAAACCTTCACTCAGTAAGTGCCCCTGGAGTGAGATGATGTTAATCACCGGTATATTTTAGGGCAGAACTTTGTGAAGGACTTTCTCAAGTGCTTCTCTCTAACAGTAGTTATCAGACCAGTTTATTGGGAGTATTTCTTCTGGACTGTTTAACTGCTATGGAGGTAGGATCATATGTATAAAGACTTCTCTTGCCTAATTTCACAGGTGTTCCACTCAGTTAATGTCCATCAAGTGGTTTGTATCAATTTTCTGTTGCTACAGGGCAATTCCCACAAATTTAGTGTCTTGAAACAAGACTCATTATCTGAAAGTGTGCATGGGTCACATGCCTGGGCAAGTACAGCTGGGTCCCTTCCCGGTGCCTCTCAAGGCACAGTCACGGTTCACCAGGTCAGCTTTCCTTTCCGGAGGTAATGGGGAAGAATCTGCTTCTAGGCTGATTCAGAATGCTGATAGAATTGTTGCTTTCCCACACTTGCCACATTGCCCCTCGGTCTCTAAGTCGGTCACTGTGGGTCTAGTCTTCTCATACTTCAGATCTCTTGGACCTCCTCCTCTTCCTCATTTCTCAAATTTTAAAGGTTCGTGTGGTTGCATTGGACCTACTTGGATAATCAAGGACAATCCTGCATTCATTTCCTACAGCTGCTGCAAGAAATGAGCACGGAATGCCTTGGGCTCCGAGGCCCATGACTTTGTCCACTTGTAACCAAGCCTGCTGCCCCCACAGGCTCGTGAAGGTGGGGGTCCATGGTGGGGTGCCACAGCAGGAGGAGCGCCTCTGTGGCCTCCCACTGGCAAGCGGGTGTAGACCTTTCCCAGAGGAGCTCCTGCAGGGTGTCTCACATTGTGCAGTCAACCCAGGAGCACACAGACAACATCCCAGGAGCTGTTGGCTCTGAGGTTCTGCAGGCGAGGGCATCACAGTAATGGCGAGTGAATGGCGCTTGGCAGCCATCAGCAGGGCTCTCTCAGCTTACTGCCCAATGCAGGGCCCTTCTTTGCTGATAGGAGTCTTTCCTTCCTTTTGCCCCATCCCTGCAGAGAGAAGCACAAGGAGCCCCAGCCACTCCGGAAGTGCCCAAGTCTCTGTTCCACCACTGCCTTCCACCCAGAGAGCTCCTTGATGCTAGTGGTGAGCTCAGAGCCACAGGACATGTGTGCTGAATCTAGGATGAGAGCCAAATGGAGGTTCTCAGGCTCCCCCAGGAACGAGGACAGAAAATGCTTGGAATGGCTTGTTTGACTGATCTGAAGCATTTACTTGGTCCTCAGGGGTGCTACTCATATGGAAACAAAGTGGGGGAGGGGAGTAGAAGAAAAAGTGAGGGACAGAAAATATTCTTAACTGTGGGGCTTGTATTGTATGTGTGTGTGTGAGAGAGAGAGAGAGAGAGAGATGCAGTAGAAAAATGGGCTTACTAAAACTGAGCGATATATGTGTGCTTTAATGAAAGATACTTATGTCTGCACTCAACGGGCTTTGAGGTGCACCAGAAAATAAAATGATAGGTGGATAATCATATGGTAAAAAAAAAAAAATACTGCCAAACTTTAACAATGATAGAATCTAGGTGTCGAGTTTAGGCTTTCTTGTACAATCCTTTCAACTTTTCTGGATGTTTGAAATTCTTCATTAAAAAAGTGTTAGGGACTCACTGTAAGAAACAGACGTGGAGTAAGCCTCAGGGCTGCCTCCTTTTGGACCCACTTTCTGCAGCTGTCTGGGAGTTTCTGGTGGGTTATTTTAAAGCAGGGCTTGTGACTATGCTGACTTTTGAAGATCACAGGTGACTTTATATTCTCTGTGGGAGGAGTTCCATCTCACCAAAGTCCCTGCAGGGCATCAGAGGGAGGGCTCCTTGCAATAATTTAGAAGTAGGAAGTGGTTGGTACCCACCTTTAGTAACAGTGATATTGTCAGCAAAATCATTTTCCTTGCTTGCAACTTGGAAGTTTGGAGACACATTTAGTGGAAACCATCATGCCTCCAACCTCTCCCTACCCCAGACTCAGCCACTAAAAGGCGACCCTCACTCCAAGCCATGAGCAGATGGCCACAGACTTTTCTTTGCTGCCATTAAAACCAGGGTGACCCTATGTCCCAATTTGCCTGGGACAGTCCCATGTGACACCTGCTACCAGCCCTGTCCATGTGCCTGCCACTGTGACAGACACTTGTCTTTGACCATTATGTTAAATCCTGCTAAGGATGCTCCCAGACACAGCTTTATAGTTTCTGTTTGGTGTCCACCAGGGTGGAATCAGGCCAAGCTCACCTCCTAAATGAACATAGATATTTAAGACTCTGAGAGAAGATACTTTGTTCTGTCCCACACCTAGCAGGACAAATTCTTGTCAGTATTCAAGAACATAGAATACCAAATATGCACAATGATTTTTAATGCAAAAGCAGTAACATTATAGGCTTGGGTCTCTTAAATTTTTCTATACTTAAAACGTTCCAGGGTTGAAACATGCTTTCTTAAGAAAGGGAGTGATCATTCTACTTAGCTGACATGAATTACCAAAACTGATTACAAAAGAAATCGAAAGTTTGAATAGACATATAACAAACAAAGACAACCACTAATTAAATTTCTCACAAAGATCCCAGGTGATCTTTGTGAATTGATGGTTTCATTGATAAATTCTACCTGATATTTTAAAGAAAAGAACAGCAGTCATGCACATCCTTTCAGGAATAGAGACGGAAGTCGCATTTCCCACCTCACTGTGTGGAGTCAGTGCATGACACCCACCCCAGACAAGGCCATCCCAAAGAGGAATACATGAGCTGATATCATTCATGAATACAGAGGCAAATATCATTAACAAAATATTAGCAGACCAAATGTAATTACAGAGAAACAGTATTATTACACCATGATTGAGTGAGGTTTATTCCAGGAATGCAAGATTGGTTTAACATCTGGAAATAAATTAATGTAATCACCAAATTAATAAAACAAAGAACATTAAACATATGAGCACATTAGTCAAACAGAAAAAACCATTTGACGTGATAACACATCTATATATGACAAAAACAATTGCACATCCTGGGGCATGGGGAACACCCTCAATCTGATAAGCAGCACCTAATGAGACTTACCACTAATTCACACTTAATTCATTCTGAATACTTTCCCCTAAGATTGGGACAAAAGCAAGAATGTCCACTTCAAACTTCTATTTGACATTTCACTCAAGTTCCAGCCAGTGCAACACAGCAAGAAATATAAATTAAAGATATAGATTTGAAAATGAAACTGTATTTATTTGCAGGAAACATGCTTCTAACAAATCTGTAAAAAAAATCTGGTAGAAATAATAAGACAGCTCAATAAGGTGGTAGGATACAAAATCAATATAAAAACCTCAATTATATTTCTGTATACTGGCAAAGAAGAATCTGAAAATGATATTAAGAAAACCATTCCATTTGCAATAGCTTTGAAAATAATAAAATAATAAAACAAGTGCCAAATCTGTATACTTAAATCTACGAAGTATTGAGAGAGATTAAATGCAATCTAAATAAATGGAAAGATTTAGAATACTCATGGACTGGAGCACAAAATATTGTCATGATAGCAAATTTCCCCTAAATTGATCTATAGACTTACCATGATCTGTACTGAATTTCCAGCAAGCTTTTTTTTTTTAAGGAAATAACAAGCCAATCCTAAAATATATATAGAAATTCAGAGGACCTAGAGCGACCAAAATAATTTAGAAAAAGAAGCAGCAAATTGGAGGACTTACACAACCTGCCTTAAAAATTTATGATCAAGCTACAGTAATCAGGGCAGTGCGGGACTGGAAGAAGATAGACCATACAGATCAGTGGAACAGAGTAGAAACTCCAGAAATAAAACCTGAGCAGCGGATGTTAAACAGAGGTGCACAGGACAATTCAACGGGGAGAGAAATGAGAGTATTTTTAATAAAGGTGCTGAAACAATTGGATAACTATATCCAAAAAAAGAACTTAATACCCTACTTCACACCATACACAAAAAAAAATAACTCAAAATCAATCATAGACCTGAATTTAAGAGTTAAAATATAACACTTTAGGAAGAAAACAGAATAAGATCTTTGTGACCTTGAGTTAGGCAAAGTTTTCTTTAACATGATACCAAAACACTATTAAGGGAAAAAAATGAAAAATTGGACTCCATAAGAAATAAAGCATTTGGTCTTCAAAAGTCACCATTACAAAAATAGAAACTATAAGTCACAAGCTGGAATAAATATCTGCAAACCATGTACTTATATCCAGAATATATAAAGAACTCTCAAAACTTAATAAGGAAAAACAGCCCCAATTTAAAATGGGGAAGAGATTTTAATAAACTTAAACAGGATATATGGATGGCAAATAAACACCTGAAAAGGTGTTTAGCACCACTCACCATTCGGGAAATGCAAATGAAAACCACAGGAAGATAGCACTTCATACCCAGTTAGCATGGCTCGCTCGAAAACGCGAACAATGCCCAGTGCTGGGCTGATGCAGAGAAACCGAAGCCCCGCGTGTCCGCAGTTCAAAGTAACAAGGGAATTGGAAAGTGATGCCACTTTGGAAAGCAGTTTGGCAGGTTCTTAAAAACTTGAATATATTCTTACCATTTGACGCAGCAATCCCACTGCCGGGCTCTTACTAAAGAGGGACGAGGACACCAGTGCTCGCAGGGTGGGTGTGGGAGGAGGGGAGCTGTCCCTCCGCGAGACCCCTTCCAGGGACGTGTCTGAGACACGCTTACTTGATGCTGACTAATAATGGACTGGGTTTTCTGAAAGAATAACCTGAGTATCAACAATTTCTCCTTTTTCTTCATTTTCATTTACGCAGCAAGCAGATGGCGACCAGAGCTCATCCGCACAGAGGTAGGTTGTATGCTTGCTAGAGTTGTTGGATCTGTCTGAAAGTAGGCTGCCTGCTCTTTGTAACTCAAATTACTTTGGAAAGTAATCCATCTCTGATGGGATATTTTAAAACAATGTGTAACATCGTTTCACTTAACATTAACACGTATCCACCATCTTTTTGGCTTACCTTACTTGCGAAAACTGCAATAGTTCTCCACTCCGTCTGTAACTGCTGATACCTGAACCGATATGCGAAGGTCAGTGCTCATTGATTGTGTCAATCAGAGAACATGTGGAGAGCTGAGTCCAAACCTCCTCCTTAGGACGTCTCATAACACCTGGTTTTGTGTTGCTCCCGAGGGCCCCGGAGCGCGGCTCGCACGCACACAGGCACACACGAGTTTCCCCGCGAAATCAGAGGCAGAAAGTGGCCCGTCGTGAAGGTCACGACCCAGGCTAGGCACCCACTTTAAAACGCGCACATTGAAACTGCAGCTGTGAAAAGTCGTCGAGGGACAAGAAATACGCTCACACTATGGTAGGTGTCTTAGTCCACCAGGGCTGCCGTCACAAAGGGCCACAAAACAACAGAAGTGTGTGGTCTCACTGTTCTGGAGGCTGGAGCCTGAGATCAAGGTGTCAGCAGGGTCGTGGGGCCTTGTCAGCCTCTCTCCTTGGCTTGTAGATAGAGGTTTTCTCCTTACGCCTCCTCACATTTCCTATTTTGTCCCTTTCTGGCAAGAATAATTGAAAATCAATGCACCAGGATCGTAAATTTCCATCTCAAATTTTTTTTCAGATTGCCACATCAATGAGTATTCGTTATAGAAAATTTGGAACTTACAAATATTCCCCGTGTACAGATGAAAGTCTTTCCTTCCCTCCACCCGCCAGTGTCCGCTCCTGGCATTTTGACTGGTATCTTTCAAGTCTCCCACATGTAATATTTCCATGTGCATCATGTACGTAACATTTTCTTTTATGAAATTATGATCTCGTTGTGCACGTTTTTGGGAGCCTGCTTTTAAAACTCCATGTATTGTGGAGTTTGTTCTGTTAAAAGAAGGAAGCATGAATTCACTGTTCCATTTTGAAGGTATATCCTGTTTCTCATTGTGGGGATCTTCTCATTTTCGACACAGTCTCGCCTTTCTGACGAGAAAGCGGGGAAACTTGACTTGTGGGAAGGGAGCGCGAATGTGTCAGCTTACAAACCCTCTGGGTGTGGCAGCCGATAACAGACGGGCAGCCGTTCTCTGTGGCAGGAAGCCTTTCTAGGGTAACGAGGAGTTTGTGCCCAGCGGGGCTGATGGGGGGCCTGGACGTGCCTGCAGCTCTCAGGTCACACCTGCCTAGCAGACCAGGCTCGGCGTCTGGAGACCAGGGCTTGTCTACACCTCTTGACACAACAGTGTGTAAGAAGGTGTAGGTGCTTACAGCTTCAGATGATGTTAATCACAGGCTTATTTTAGAGGAAACTCGGAGTCGGGCTTGCCAAAGCATCGCCGTCTGGGGGTAGCCATCGGACCGTCTCTTTGGCACAATTCCTTTTCGACTGCGTGCCTGTCGGAGAACATTCCACGGGTGGCTCTGCAGAAATTACCAGATAGGGTGGACTAGAGAGGGGAAGGGGCCGCACACCTGAAGCTTCAGGAACTGTGCGGGCGCTCCACCCCGCCAGCCCTCGCCGGGCCCATCCTCTGTAGCCGCACAGCAGATGAGCCCAAGCAGGGGCTCCGAACGCCTTCCCCATCTCACGGGCTCCACGCAGTGAACTGGGGCCCCTGCATCTCGCAGGACAGCAGTCAGTGTGTGGCCGGGGTCGCGTTCATTTCGGGAGGTGCTGGAGAAGAATGACAGAATTTGTGTCTTCTCACACGCTGTCACCTCCAGCCTGCAAGTCAGCAATGGAGGGCTGAATCTCTCCGCATCATCCTTCCTCACGTCTCTGAGGCCCTTCAGCGGGCCCCCCTGGGTAATTCCGTGTCATCCCACTGTGGCAGTTGAGGTCCGGGGCCCACAGCACCACCCACCGCCCCTCCTTGTTTAAAGGTCCCTGCTGCTCCTGCAGCCCCTCCCCTCGGGTGCTTCTCCCCTGCCCTCAAGGGGGTCTCCCAGGGTGCAGCGGACCTGAGGGGCTGCAGAAGAAGGGAAGGGCACAGTAAGGAGCCCGTGGGATGCTGTGGCCTGTGGCTTTCAGCAGCTGTCTGCATTCCCATTCTTGCTGACGTGTCTCTCCCCTTCCTCCTGCCCCATCCCTCCAGAGTGACGTCCAAGGAGCTCCTGCTGCCGGATATGCCCTCCTTTCAGTTGTCCGCTACCATGTACCCAGAGAATTCGTGGCTAACGGTAGGTGAGGGCGGCCATGCATGAGCCTCAGATACAGGGGTGAGAGCCAGTGCGGGATCTAAGCCTCCCCCAGGAACCCAGGGGAGGGCAGGTTTAGCTGGTTTAAAGCATTTATAATGTTCCCAGGGATGCAGCTCAAACAGGGACAATGGTGGGAGGGGAATACGAGGGAAATAAGGTGGGTAACACAAACATTCTAAACTGTGGGGCATGCGTGTGAGCAGAGAAGCGTGATAGAAAAATGGGTGTGACGAACGGAAGCATCACATGTGTGCTTGGGTGATGTGTGTGGATGTCTGCAGCCAGCACTCCAGGAAGCTCCTGGCAGGATCCTGGCCTGTCCCCCAGGGTCTAAGCAATCCACTTACTGTCCCAGCGGAAGGGCTCTCCTGCTCATCTCCCAGATCAACAGGGAGGAGGGACCTACCCAGCCCACTCTGTTCATTATGCAGCCTGGACTCAGAGTTCCATGTTGGAGATGCTGGAGGCTGGTCTTCAGTGAGGACGGGGTGTGACTGGCCAAGTCACAGTTTAAACCATGGCCAACACCATACGGCATAAGCCCTCCCTGCCACTCACTCCCATCCAGCCTCCTGCCATACCTGGAGACCGGGGTGGTGCTCCGTTCCATCCCATTGGCACCCCACCCTTGCCATCCCTTCTTGGGTGGTGGGTACCACACGACTTCTTCTGAGCGACAGGAAGGACAGCGCTCAAGCAGCAAAGTCATGATGACAGGACAGGTGTTGACCATGGGTCCCACCTGGCTGTAGCGTGTGTCCAGGGGAATGTGCTCAAGCCCTCTTCTCTGGTGAATGTGGCTCTTGAGCTCACCTCTAGAATGTGTGGTAGAGCAGTCTCAGGGCCACCTCATTCCCATCCTGTCTCAAGAATCCAAGTCAGCTGTGACCATTCAGTGCCACTCTGCTGGACACTTGTCATCCATCATCACATTTAATCCCTCTGCAGATTATCTGAGACAGATCATCATCCCACTTTGATGGCTAAGATTAGATAAGGCTGGGCTCACCTCCTAAGTGTGGGCAGAGCTTTGAGATCTCAATGGCTCAAACCCTCCCCACCTCTCGCCCAGGAGGACACATTCTCTTCTGCATTCAAAACGGTAAATACCAAATATGCACATAGGGCTTTCTAATGCAACAGTAGAAATAGCATGAGTTTGGGTTTCTTAAACATTTATATCCTTAATTCTAAATCTTCCAATGTTGAAAAATGCATTCTCACTTAAGAAAGGTAGTTACCGGG